CGGATCCTAACCGGGGTCCGAGACGGGGACGGGGGAGGATTCCCCACCCCGTCTCCGTCCCGTTTAATATTTTTTTTCCTATTTTTTTATATTATTAATATATATAAAATTGATAAATACTTTTTAAATTATAAAACAAAACACTACCCTAATAACCCAATTAACCATTTTTCTTCCCTTCTTATCCACTTCTTACACTAGTAATAAAAAATTAATTAAAAATTTAAAAAATAAAATAAAAAATTATAAGAAGATATATTTTAATGAGGAATCCTGATCTGTCCCTGCCTCCAAAATTTCGGGGACGGGGACAGGGATGAGAAAAAATCCCAAATGGGACGGTGATGAGGATGACCCCAGCCCCGCCCCGTTCCGTTGCCATCCCGCTGGTGTTGAGGTGCTGAGTCGGAGAGTTGAGTCTCACCCGAGCAAGTGAAGGACCAGACAAAATGGGAGTCATTGTTACAATACCAGTGTGCTATGTTAAACAATACCACAATGGTGGTAGATCCAAGCTTTTGTGTGAGAGTGACAAATTCATGTAAATATAATGAAAAAAAATCAATTTTAACACTAGACTTAGACACTGAATTTTTATCATGAATTTTCAATTTCATCAAATTGCACTTTAAATTTGGAAAAGCTTGACTTTTATTAAATTATGAGTTTTTTTTTTCTTGATTAATAGTTGAACTAGTGCAAATTGAGTGAAGGGTAACAATTGCCACTTCTCTAAGTTTAGAGATCAATTTGTTGTAAGTTTAGGATAATTTGTTGAAATTAAAAGTTTGGGATGAAAATTGATACAACTTATCCAATTTAAGAGTAAAAATTGATATTTTCTCAAATGTAGTTTTAGATGCATTTAATCTAAACATTTCTATTGAGTAATATTGAAAACTAAACTATAATAATCATTATGACGTTATCTATACATAATTTGATATTAATTTGTTTAGTATAAATAGTAAACGAATTTATATAATAAATACTAAAAATTATGATCGTATTTATACATAATTTAATATTAACTTGTTCGAAATAAAATAGGATTAAATTATCCCTATAATAAAACTTGAAATATTAAGTCAGGGCCTTTTTAATAAAAAAAATTATTTTCAGTTGACGACGAATTTTGGTTAAGGGCCACACGGTCTCAAGACGAGAAGTTCAGAGATGGATCCACCGAACCTGAAACCAAAGAACTCGACGCTGGTGCGATGTCCCGCCTAATATACTTCGACGCTCAAGTTAGTAATCAAAGTAAAAATAGGAATGAGACGCCAGAGGGTTCAGTGACAGGTTTTTCACTTACTTGGTGTGGAGGATCACCCTTCCTTTTATAGTCCCGAAGGGTCGACCAAGAAGGATGACAGTTGGAAGTAGTAGTGACGTTGCGCGCGGTACGATAGGGCAGAGAGGTGTGCGTCCCTGACAGTGCAGAATAGCCCCGCTGCGTCCATTGAGCATGTCGTCCAGGACCATTGGATGCGTCCATCGTACTGACAGCACGCACCGCCAGCTGTGGATACGTACAGGGCGTAATCGTTTGGGATGTTCGTCTCGTCGTGAGCAGACACACCTTCTGTTCGGCGACATCCCTACTGAGAATTGGTTCCCAATGGGACTGCATCCGTGAAGGGACGAACACGTGTCCTATTCCGAAGCTACTCATAACAATATTCATATAAAAATATGAGACTGGGAAAATAAAATAAACACTATAATATTACATATTTATTATTATTTGGTATTTTTATTTAATAGATATGCATTTTTATTGCAAAAATATAAATTATTTAATAAAAAATAAAATGTCGATTTTTTTAAAAATAAAGAAATGGGAAAGGTTACCATACCATGGTTTCAAGGCTTGAACGTGGAGGATGAGGGGTGCAAAATTAAACAGGCGTATTACCTTTTTAAAAGAAAAAATAAAATAAAATAAAATAAAATAAATGGACGTGTGAGAACCAACAGGTCTGGGAGAGTGACCATCATTTATGATAATGAACAATAATAGCGAGTGTCGTTACAGAAATTTGGATCAATGTTCCCGTGACGAAAGCTCTAATGAACATGTTGGGCCATGTATTAGCTATGGGCCCAAATTTAACTGTGCTGAAAATTTATCTTCACCGACTGGGAGTAAATACAAACATGTGGGATCAAGACACGTGTCTGGGGCACCCACTAATTGGTGAAAAATTGTTTGGTTCTTTTTTTTGGGTGGTTTGAGGCCGTACAGAAAGCAAAGAGAGGGAGCTTCTTCTTCTTCCTTCAAGTGTGTGAGCCAAACTAGAGAGATTTGAGTGAGTTTTCTCTCCCAAAATTCCCTTGGATACTTCTTCTCTCCTTTGTATCAACTCCATTAATGGTGAGTGAGAGTGGTGTTTTGTTTTAGGGGATTTTGGTGCTGAAATTTTCTGCTCTTTGTTCCTTGAAGACTCCATGTATTTTTGTTGTTACTTTTGGTGATATGAGTGGAATGAATGGATCGTCACAGTGGATGTAGATCACGTTGATCGAACCACTCACTACAACAAATCTGCTATTTCATGACGGGCATTGTCCGACATTAAACATTAACCATGTCGGTCACTAACCGACATCTATACGAGTGTTCTTGTTTCCCTTTCATGTCGGACAGTTTTAAGGTCGGGCATTGCCCGTCATGTATATTCTCTTTCCATCCGGACATGGCCGTCATGAAACGACCCTTTTAAGGTCGGACAGTGTCCGTCATGTATAGCGTTTTCCATGACGGACGTGCCTGTCATGAAAGGATAACCATGACGGGTGACAACCGACATCTTTATGACTGTCCTTGTTTTGTGACCGTCATTCTATGTGCGACATTGTTTGTACGCCATTGTTTGTACGACATCTTTTGTGTGACATTGTTTGTACGTCATTATATCTACATCGATATGTGCGTCATGGAATGACTATATTTCGTGACAAATATTGACCGTCATTATTTTGTGAATAAATAAATTAAAAAAATAGTTGGTTGCCCAGACGTGGCTAACCAACTATATATATTTCCTTCACACCTATGATAATATCTCAATATGCAACTAAAACTTTTAACACATTCATCCATTATAAAACAATATCAATTCTAAAACTTAACTCAAAAA